ATCTGTATGTATATGCATAGAAACACACATATACACATGCATACATGCATGTATCAGTTTATTGAGAAACATGTTTCCCACATACATATAAGAAAGTTCCTTTGTTTCACACACATAAGAATGTTTCTTCATATATATGTATAGTTCTTTAGAAACTAAACACATGATGAATAATAACAGTCTATGCTATTTATTTTATGCTGCCCCACATCTTCCTTTTGTCAGTATGAAGCAGAATGTTATATTCAAAACTAATTATAGAAATTCCTACAAACATGAATCAATAGACTTTGGATGCTTATAAGAGATCCGGAGGAGAAATAAGACAATGGGATAAATGCATTAGCTGTAAATGTCTGTGAAACAGATAATTCATCCACAAAACAGTTAAAAACTTGATATTCAGGCTTCACAGCGAACACAAATTGTTTTATCAAGGTAATTTGTTCTTTCCAAAAGTTGATCTATCCAGAAAATAGGAATGGGTGAGTTACATTCTATTCATGTTTTAAAAGCAATTTTCCCCTTTTCTTTTCTACTCTGAGAGCTTGCTACGTATTTTTTCAGCTGAAAAATAAGTAATGGTATTTTGTGAAAGGTTTGACGAGTATGAAAGTATGAAGTATGAAAATCTAAAAGTTATGAAACTTTATAAACCAAATGTACTTGAATTACTCTCCCATAAAATTTTTAATCAACTAACAGGGGGAAATAAATATTTTAATAGAACTTCGATTTTCACAATTGTGTCTGTACCTTCAGTGTATGATGAGAAATTAAGCAGAAAATGGAAGAAATGAAAAGATAGCATTTTACGATTTTACATGTAAATCCAGATGAGAATCTTAAAACAGTAAATCCTTAAAATTCTTTAAAGCCCTCAGATGAGGTTCTCTCAACTTAAATTCACCTTAAATTCATGGAAAAAAACAAGGTTCCAGACTGTTGAAAATAACTCTTGAAAAGATTTTTTGTCTGGGTTTTCTTCAGGTAGTCTTGGACAGAGATCTAGTTTTGTGATAAGTAAGCTTGACGCTCCAACATTAAGACAACATTATGCAGTGTGTCTCCTGTTGATTTTTAAATTTCAGATTAGTGATTGTAAAACCCCTGCTATAAAGAACTGGGGTTCCAAATTCAGTTTTCACCTGACTTCCCCTAAAAATTCTAAATGAATCACAAACTCTAAACCAAAGATACAGTATTTCCCCAACACAAATAAAGCAGTCACAGGAAAACCAAAAGGAAGAAACGAAGTTAAACTTTCACATAGCTTAATGAGGTAAGGTACTAGTACCTCAGTGGGGAGGCAAGTAAATTGGGTGATTATTCTCCCACATGCCACACTGAGGTCTGGCAATTTATGAAAGATGAATATTAAGATTAAATTTGTAAGTGATAGGTATAACATTGTATTTAGAGCTCTGAATTATCTAAACCATTTCAAAGTATTCCAGTTATGTAAAATTAATTAGTACAATATTGTGTTACAGCTATTTTCTTTTTTTTTTTTTTTTTTTTTTTTTGTTTCAAATTATACAAGTAAGCTAAGTGCAGTTTGTAAATAATGTCTTTAAGGAAAAAAGGAAATAACAGAAAAGGAAGGTCTGATGTTGCCGCTGTCTTTCATATGATTTCATATACTGATTTCAGCTGGATTACTGTGGGACTGAAGTTGCAGACATAACTTGGTTAAGATTGATAATGAATAGGTTGTACTAAAATCTGTAGTTAATAAGCAACTTTTTAATTGAAAAAGCATACAAAACTCATCAAGAAACTGAGAAAAGGGAAGATCAGCAGAAAGAATAATAATTCACATACTATAGTGAAAAAACACAAAACAAATATCTGACTGTTCCTATATAATGGCCATTGCAAACTACTTAGCATTGTATATGGGATGGATTATATTACAGCACCTCTCAGATCTTGTTTAAGGTTTTCAGCAGTGAATGAATCAGAAAACCAAAGGCACAGAAGACTAAAACACCACACCACCCCCACCACCCTCCTCAATCCTCCTGGTGTATTTGCTAGCTTTAAACCTGATGTGATACAAACCGATGTCTCTAAAATCTGTCAGCATTACGGATTCAGAAATATTTGTCAAGTATTCTGAACACAACTACTTTTCCTATGATTCTGAGCATTGTCACTGATAATCCTGATGCAACTGAATTTTAACCAGTGTCCCTTCAAAAACAAAGTTTAGCAAAATTAGAAAAAGAGAACAACAGAGAACAATCAAACCAGAGTCTTAGAAGAAATTATCCCATGGAAGATGATGACGACAGACTTTTCTATTTACCAGATGAACAGAGCACTATCTAAGACATCAACCACATTACATCTTCTTGATCTACATTACCTCCCTTGTCCACTGAGATCTTGAAATGGAAATATGAGGCTTGTAATTAGTCAAGTGGAAAGTGTGAGAGCTGTTCAGTTTATTGGGGGTGGTGGGTATTTAGGGAATGCTAGCTAAGGTACTACCTGCACAGAGCGTGCGCTACTCCAATGACCTCCACAGAGCCTTCTAATCTTTTCTTTCTGACATTGACTGTTTTGTCCAGCCTACAGCCCCGTTATCTTACATGAATTTAACACAAGAATTCAGTTACCACCTCAGAGGTCAACTTACACTTTTCTCTCTTGCACAAACTCAAACTTGACGTTTTGTTCAGAGAGAGATTATCAACAGTGACTGGGGAAAGGTAAACAAGAAAGTTCCGGCTGGTGTGAAGCAAAAATTCAACCCTCTCCAAATGTTTTGGCTTTGCCAAAGAGCATCCATATAGACTAAGTGGGATGAAATTATCTAAAGAAGATGGATGAAGGCCAAATAAATATCTGAAGCCATTAGAGAGGACAGAAAGATGCATCTGGGAAACAGGAAGGGTTTGATACCAGAAAGATATTAAAAAGCCATACTATGGTGGAACGGCCTGGGTTTAGAAAGAAGACCAACCTGCTGAGGACAGTCATTAGAGCTGCTGTTACAGCTACCTGGGAAGGATTCAAGAGTTATAATATGCACAGTCTTTTGCAGGCAGATATGAGCTTATTTTGCACGAGCTGACCAGAAGCCATTCTGCTGTGACAGCATACCATCAAGCACTTGGTAGTAAGCCTTGCTGCAAAGCAGTGTGTATTAGATCAGGCAACGTACCATTCTCATGTGGCCCCAGGTCCTCAGGCTGACCAGTGCAGGCTACAGTAAGCTCACATCAGTTTGCAAATGGGCGTGCACATACGCTCACAAAAAAAAAAAAAAAGAAAAAAAAAGAAAAAAAAAGAAAAAAAAAGAAAAAAAAAGAAAAAAAAAAAAAAAGAAAGATTTCAAGACCAGTGTGCAACGAATCCATCAACTATGAGGTGGGAAGAACTGAGGTTTGCAGGATCAGGGATGGACATCAGTCCCTGAGAAGCAGTTGGGAAAAATTAACAGGAGGATAGATCTTATGGTGTGGGGAGACCAACACTGGACATGCTCATTCTGAGCAGGGGCATTGTGAAGTCCCAAATTTATAATGGACACTTCTTTCAGAGGCAGCTCTTTAACTGAGATGGGTTAAACATCGGAAGTGTGAGACATATAACATGGCACAGGTCCTTATGGAATGACTTCTGTCACAGTGATTTGACCAACATTTTTCAAATAATTCGAATGCAGTGCAACATAATTATACTACCAAACTCTTTTCAAAATCAGTACAACTCGGGTACAAATGCCTAGCTTCAGTAACACATCCTAACACAGCTGGTATTTGCATATACATACCTGCATCTCAGTCCAATACAAGTATATTTGCAATATGGAAGTTATTACTGTCTGTCTTTCATTCTCTTCCAATTACACATAAACAGTCAATAATAATTTTTACATTTTCTGTTAAACTTTTCCAGTACTAATTCTGAAAGGGAGACATTTCATTTGATGAAAAAGCACAAAGACAAAAAGGTGCTTGCTTTGTAAAAAATATTGCTATTTTACTTTGCCTCCTATCAATGCTTTTTTTTACTTAGCTCTTTGAGAGATATCTGTTTCAGATGTAGCATAAAACATACACTGTATTACTGATATATATTTTTCTCACAACAATTTCCCTGTGATATAAGTAAAAATATTAACTAATTGATTTTCACATATCTCAGGCAGATTACCGAATCTTCAATATACAAGGAGAAAAAAAAAAAATCAATGGTTGAAAGAACTTGCCTAATGTTAAAATGTTTAAACACAATGATAAGGACTGCAAGTCAGAAATTGCTATGACTCAATCTTTTTGTAAGGTTTTGTCAGAACTGAAACTCTTCTTACTCATCCTATTTTCATTCTCACATCTACAGCGATTTTTAGGAATGGACAGATCATATTGCACATATTTATATAAGTGCACCTTGGTGTTGCATATACAAGTTTGGCATACGAATATAAACATAAATAAATACCATACTTGCTAAGAATCTGTTTGAGTATTCTAGTTGCACAATGTTAGATTGGTTGGTCTCTTATTGAAATCCATTTCTCATCTTCACAGAGCAGAAAAAATACACTTTATATATTTATCATAACTCCAGCAATGGCATCTGGAACCCGTAAGGCACGTTACTTTTTGTGAGCATCTTCATTACTTTTTGTGCTGATTAAATTGGGTGTAATAGTAAGAACATATTGACTTCACTTAAGCAACTGGGGAAATGGGACAAATTTACAAGGAGAAAAATGTCTGTAATATACAAGCTTGGATGAGAAGACTGGTCAAAACTGCTAAGAAAAGTAAAATAGAAAACCCACAGCGATGCTTATAGAGATTGCTTTTTGAATGGCCTGAAGCTTGTTTCCTAATTAATTTCCAACTTCAAGTTTACAGCACTGAAAATCATCGTCTTTGCTGACACACAAACCAATTATTTACTTTACAGATGCCTAAGAATAAGAAATACCAATTCAAAGCAAGATGATTAAGGCAAAGCAAATGTTATGCAGTACTCACCTTAGGCACCCAGTGGCATTGCGCAGCACCTGTGATGAATGGAGTTGTATTTTATGATCATCCTGGAGTGGAGAGTTTTCCCAACCAGAGTGAGGGATGATCACTGCATTGGTCAACACTGTGAGGGCATCCTGGATGATTGGCATTTTCAGTGCATCACAGGAGGATAGGTTCCAGAGAACTCCTACCAAAAAAGCAAGTGACTAATAATTAACACTTCTGCAAAAAAGACTGAAAAGTTTTCATTTTTAAAAAAAAATATTACAGAACATTTCAAATTATTGATGTTCTTAACAAAGCTGTTTCTGTCAAGAAAAAGAAGACTACATTGTAAGTGGACCTCAACAACACCTGCACACTTCGGCAGTGAGAATACAGCTTTGAATATACAAGAATTATTCACAGCAACACTGAAAACTTCTCAGAGCTAAGCCTAAAAGCTGAGAAGCTAGTTATGATCTAGGCCTATTTAGGTTGTGAACCACACACGGAATGAAGGAGCATTATCTGCATTTTTTAATGGTTTGGCCTTCAGATTTCTTCCTTCTAAATAATATTAATAAAAAACAATAGCAGAAAATAGGTTCTGATTTATGCTAAGACTATCACTGTTGACAGATACGCATTGAGAGAACAAAACCCCAACTCTGTGTTCAATTTATTGAAAGTAATGGTCTAGGCTGGTTGGTACTACCAAAGCAAAAAGGCTTCCTTCACAATCTGATACAGCACTATGGTATTATCCCAGCCTTCAACATTTTTTATATTGTAAATATTTTACTCTACAACATTACAGAATATTACCATTTTTGCACAGAAACAACAAGTTTAAGGTGCAACTCACAAAGAGATTTACTGGAATTTAAAAAACCCCTTTCTGCTAAAATTCATAATGTGCCATAGAAAAGGAAGAGCAATCGAGAGCCAAAGCTTTCTGAGTGCAGCTGCAAGAACCAGGGCCACTGATGTGTATCACACAGAAAGCAGGCAAGAAATTGTTGGGGGCAAAAGAGAACCTGTTTTCCATTCCCTTGTATATATTTGTATATTTACTTGAAAAGCACATTTGATTTTCGTGCTGTGCCAAGAGCCTGCTGCTGCTGGGCAGCTACTAGTGCTGGGGGAAGCTGGCTGGCAATACACTTCTCAGAAGAAGCAGAGGTCTTTATTTTAGCCCAGCGTCCTCCCCAGAGCATCTGGAAGAGCAAGGCTGCCTCTTCCTCCCTCTTCCCTTGCCAGCATATGTCCTCTTCTCTAGAGCCCACCCCTATTCCTTCCTGCTTTCCTTTCTGCAGTGACAGTAGCCTGGCCCCACACCTAACCTTGAGTGGCAAAACTGAGTTATGCCTTTATGCCTATCAAGTCTTGAAGCAACACAGAGAAAGATTATAATCATCATATACACGAGGTTACAAATACGAACATTACACTACGAAAAACCAAAGTGAGTGGTGGTGGGAGGAAACTGCCAAAGGCCTCAAGAATGTACACTCAGACATTTATAAATATAAGCAGCGAGAATACCATTGCTCAAGGCTTTCTTTAGCATTCTGTGTTTTGAAGGAGAGGTGTAATTAACAGGAATCAACACACATTTTTGGGTTTCCCTTTAAAACTAATTACATCTATGGGGAGACTGTTTCAGTTATATAATTTCATGGTTTAATTATTTTATATGAAAGTGTATGCAAAGACAGCAATGCAGCTTAATGTATTTTTTTGTTTAGCATACTAATAAAAAAACTCCAAGCCACCTTAAAATAATCTGTACACGGTAAAAAGGCAGAAACTGATAGACTTCAGCTACAGACAAAATAAAAAAAAAAGAAACAGATATCAGAATACTGTTAATTTTCTAATTTTAAAATTGCTGCTTTAAAGGGAAAGAGTCTGTGCATGAATTCTCTTCTGAATGCCTTTATGAAAAGTAATACCATATTTAAATGAATAAAGACCTTCATAAAGATATTTATACTTGTTTTTCTAGGACCTATTTTTGGTAAGCTCTATTGGCACATCTACTGTTCCTGAAATACTAGGTATTTTGCTGGTTTTAGTACAAACAACGATGTGGCTGCCTTTCTTTTACATTTATCTAGGCAGGTGCAAATGATGTGCATGGTGTAGAAGTAGAGAATCAGAATGCAAATCTTTCCTCCTTCAATGTCCAATTTAGTTCTTACGCAAGACAATGTGAAGAACTGAAGAAGTCCTATTTTGGAAATGAAGCAGAAAAGAGTGCTTTGATGACAACAAAACAGTACTTTGGGCTTCAAGAACTAGTCATGAACTGGAAAAGCATAAAAAAAACCCAAAGAAGCAAACATAAGAGCTCTGTCTAGCAAAATGCTTAAAAATGTGTATGCCTACACTCTTTTCTATTCACTCTAGGTTCCTGCTAATTAAAAGCAAATTCACATAAACATTGTGAGAAGTTGGTATTTAGCAATAGTTGAGATGCCCAGAAATATTCTTTAAATCCTTTTTCTCCATTTAAAATCCACTTGACTCTGCAAACGAGATTTTGCTCAATAAACTGCCATAGCAACAGGGGAGCTCCAAATACAAATAAAACCTTACATATTCATCCAAGAGCCAAAAAGTGGGGTCTGGTTTCACTAACTGGAAATTAAACCTCACAGTAAGAGGATGAAGGGATCACCAGACTAAATTAGCTGTTCTACCTTCTCCTCAAATGACTGTAAGGCAAAGCAGAATCAAGCAAAATGGCACTGCCCAGTAGGCCTGACAGTTTTCAAATTTTTTCACCTCACAAGACAGTTTTAAGGAGTAAGATAATCTTCTTCCACCCTAGAACAATACATTTCATTTAATTTTAAGTCTTTGAATACTACCGACCACATTAATAAAAAAAAAAAAAAGTAATATTCTGACAAATTATAATTTATTCTCACAAGTAGTGGAGTCTGCTACTTGCTGAGGTTGGCATTTTAAGTGTCTTCTTGTACCCTTCCTTAATTAAGAATTTGCAATTATGAAAGGGCACTGGCAATTCACTTTCCATTACTTTTGCTAAGGATGACCTGGAGCTAGATTTATGTGGGACCTAAGAAGAAGATCCATTGTCTTGACTTTGCAAGGGAAAGTGATAATAAAATAAAGCTTTCACCTGAGGCATCTTCCATTATGGAGCTAACTCTTCTCCATATGACCCTGAGAGTATTTTTCAAGCATGTATGCATTACATGCCCTTTACAACTATAGTAAGAAGCTGGTGACTGAGATCATTTGCCACCTTACTCTGAAAGCCCTGACTGAATTGGGTTTCTGAGGACAATAAGCAAATCTGGAATAGCCTCAGAGGTGCCTTGACTTCCCCCTAAATCATTTGTGTGTCATCAGCTGCCCACAGGAAGGGACTGGACTTGGCATACCAGTGATTCATCATGAATAGTGGGGGCCATCCTGCTGTATATATACTGGATGTGAGCTGTTAATCCAACAACTCAGTAGTCCAACTCAACAGTTTAGCATCCATAGACTGACTCCTGGGAGACAAGGGGAAATAAGGAACTAATCAGATCAGTGTTGAACATCTCTTACTCGATCACTTGCATTAACAGCATTTTATCTCCTCCTCGCTTTTAGGGTTGTGAGGCATTCAGAGTAGGAATTCTGTCTCCCCAGTTGAAGATCACTTTAGGCTGTGTTGGATGCTCCCTAGAAAGAGCTTACACCAGACTGACTATGTGTATTTGCAGGTTGAAGTTTTTCACCCTTACATATAACAAACTGAAACGCACCAAAAAAAGTATCTTGCAATCTCATTGAGCTGGTTCCAGTTGGAAGATAGATTTTGGGTCCAAGTACCAATTACCAGTCTTGCAGACATCAGATGAAGGACTCTTAGAGGACTCTATGGGAATGCTTGCTAAGGAGGTCTTTCTGTACCAGGTTACATCTTCTGGAGTAGTTTATCAGAGGACATGCATCTACTATGTTCAACAGTACATTTAATGCACTAAATGTAAATTATCTTTTCTAAGAAGGCGTCTCACAGATAACAACAATCAAAAAACCAGCTATAAATTTTGAAAAAGGTTATAAGCAACCTTTTCAAAGATGTAACTGTACAGATACAGTTCATAAGAAAAACTACACATAGGTCTTAGTTAAGGCAATTTAGATTTGTTGTCACTGGAAGAGGGAATTGAGAGAACAGAGAACCAGGAAAACTTTGATTTGTCTTTCTCTTAGCCCAAGTCCAGAAGACTGAAGACAAGACCAACCCTTACAAAAGCACAGTCCAGGTTGATGAGATGTTACTAATACTTAGTAGACAGCTTATCCACCATGCTTTCAGCTTAGAAACAGCACTCCTTTTTACATAAATTAATTTAAGCTATTGCACTAGATATCGCATCACTTACCCTAAAGAAGCAAAGCAAAATGTTTTAGAAAATTGAAGTCACCCAATTTAATGAAGCAGTCTGAGCCAAAAACTCATCATCTCTGAATCAGGCTGGAGCTCAAATTCATCCCGATTAAACTCTTCAATGCATTTTTTAGCCAGTGTTCTACTTAGAACTGATAATCGCATTTGTATATTTATAGTCAGATGTAACGAAAGACCTGATGAGCCACATGCTATCCTTATTCCATTCAAAGTTAAGAAAATTGAGATCATACACTTCCATGCAAAAAATAACACCCTAGCAAGAGAGCATGTGCAAACCCACTAAAGTCTAAACAACTACTCAGTGCATGATTTAATGCTACCTCAAATTATGACTTTTATATATATATAAACAAGCCTCTTAAAACAACTTGGACTACAAATATAAATGGAAACCAAGAAACTGGAAAAGTCAGCTTTTCCAAAAAGCATCTCCCCTGTCACACTGCCACTAAGTATTTTATTTTTTTTGTGCTGCAAAAGATGTACTTTGCCAAATAAATTATAGGGTAAAAGGATCTTAAGTAAACAAATATTATTGGGAAAACAAGACTTTGACTCTTCTTAATTTGATATATTTAGGTCTACCTTAAATTTCTACTAAGATTTTGCTTATTTAATATTCCTTGTAAAAACAAAACCCTAAAGGTCTTCAAACTCATCTAGGTTCATCTTTTCCATCTCAATTTAATAGTTTGGTCATGGACTGGTGCGGAATGCCATTTGGTAGTGCTGGGAGACTGCATACCCGGAAGAGTGAACATGGC